GATAAAGAATGGTCTCTGAGTTTCATCATCTGTAATACTATATCAAACTTATTTTCCAGTTCCAGGTCTTTTGTTCATTGATTCAATATTTCTATATGCTATAATCTGAACACATTGTTGATTTTTCTATTTGGAAATATGAACATATCATTTGGACTTGAACCAAATATTTTTGTTTTTACCTGCAATGCTCTATTACGAAATGATACTTGAAAGTCTAATTTGATTTGCATTTCCAAAACTCCATTGGAGGAGGAAACGTTTACAGATAGTAGTGTTGCCTTAGCCAAGGAATCAGCACTGAAATTGTTTGAGGAGAAACAAAGAAAAAGGAAATAGCTTCAAAAGAGAGTCTTGGGAGGCTAATATCTAAAATGGATATTTATTTTACCATAAAGAATAGTTTAGAGATGATAAGTGTATGTACAAGATTTTTCTGCATGAGTGTATGTACAAGATTTTTCTCATATATACGTCTCTTCGTTCTTTTGTTTTTGTTTTTTCCATCATCAAAAAGTTTGGTTTTGTGTGTTTGAAATCATTTTGTAGGGGTGGAATGGATATATCGAACAAGATCTATTTACCGTCATGTTTCCATGGCAGATGCTCCGATATCTCACTAAAAAGGGATTGTTGGTGCTGTTTCTATGCGAAAACTGGAAAGGATATTTGTTGGTACGAAAACGAAGTTCCCAACGCCAAAGAGGTTTTGCTTCAAAGAATGTTCAAAGAAGATTTTCGAACCTTGAATAAGATCATAAATGTATGTTGCTTATTCAATTTTTTTAGTATTAGAGAAACAAAGATATCGAACAAGATCAGTTTACCGTTATGTATTATTACCACTTGCTCCGATTTCACATCACAATAATAAAGGATTGTTGGTGTTGCTACACAATGAACTATAAAGGGTTTTTGTTGGTACATAAAAGAAGTTCCCAACGCCAGAGAGATTTGTTCCGACGAACATTAATGTTCAAAACAGTTTTTTTTTTTTTTGGTCGAAGAGGTAAATTGCATTTAAACCGGGTGTGAACCAGGAGTAACCGATACATTGGTGAAGACTGATTTGGCTAACATATCAGTTTCGAGATTTTCGGATCTAACTACATACACAAAAGTGACGATTAGATCGAGAGAGAGCTTTGATTATATCTTGTATGATTCCATAGATTGCAAGCTGGAAATTGTTCGAATTGATGAGATTGATCAAAATTTGGGAGTCCGACGCCAGAGTTATATGGTTCAAAACAGATTTAAAACCTTAAATAAATACACACACATTGAAAAAATACAATTTCAAGTGTGTTTGCACTAAAAAAACCTATATATATATATATTGTGGTAAAATCCTTGATATTAAAAAATTAATTATTGTATTTGCACAATCTCTTTGATGTTATATATTTGTTTTTGTTTTTATGTGATTTAATTTTCATATGTCCAATTACATTTTGAAAATCTTTTAACAAGAAAAAACTGTAGTCAAAGTTTTAAGGTTCCAGATTATGGAATAACTAAATAACAACTATATAATTATATTTAATTTTTATGGGGTTTGTTGGGCCAAAAAAACAAAAACATTTTAAATTTGTACAGGTTTTTTTTTGACTCAACCAGAGTAATGGATCAATAGATTAATGAAAATACTATCAGTGCCAAAAAAAAAGAAAAAAGAATTCAATCATAATGTTTTCGAATTTCCTCGAAAGCTTGTACGAGGGCATCGGA